AGTTAAGAAGTACCAGTGATTGTGAATTAGTTAATTTCATAAGTAGTAGCTCCACAAGTACAATTTGTGAACAGGGCATTCATTTCATTCAACATTCCATGTACATTTTAATTTATTTCATCTTAAAAACCGCCGATTTTGGTCGACAAACTTCAATCTTTGTTGTCTCATGATGACTCTGCCATTCATTCATTCTTTCAACATGTTTAAAGCACCAAAAATTTTTCTTTATATTGGTCTAAATATCGTATTTAAACCATACTTTTCTCTTATCACACAGCTACTTATCATTCAGTTAGCTTTCGTACGGGGTAGTGCCACGCTGCAGCTATATTATGGTTTTAACATGAATGGGTCAGCTCGACCGGGGAACGACCCCGCTTCGACCTTCGTATGGTGAGTGTAGAGAACCAAAGACCTGTTTTACTGAAATCGAGGTATTCCATATTAGCCCTCATGAGTGACAACGCATTTGCATTTTGATTCTTAATCGAGGTTAAATGTAGATGTCTGGGCCACAGCATCCACTTATCATCAGGTAGACTGAGTGCTCGTTTGTTACCCTTATCCTATAAAATAAAAAATGAAAAATCCACACAGACGACTTCATGTATCATATAGTTACAAAAGACTGCATTTATGATCTAGTGGTCTCCTCCGTAGCATTTGGTACCAACACCTGACGGCGTTGTTGTACGCGCCTTCATTGGAAAGCAAGTGAAGCCTTTTTTTCTGCACTTTTGTTCTGCACTTTATCTCTCTCCAGTCATGTCCAATTTCCGTATCATCGGACTATGAGAGCAAGGAAATGTAGAGAGCACCTGTGCTTGCGCGCGCACTCGTACATTATAATTCTATCCTTAGCAGATGGCTAGTCTCAGTTTAGACTCGCAGCCGTCATCAAAATTAACAATTGACTTATTATGTAACTTTAGCTGATACTATTTACGTGATAAGCCACGCTGCAGCTATATTATGGTTGTAGCACGAATGGGTCGGCTCGACCGAGGAAAAACCACGCTCTCACGGAATACCAACGTAAAATAGCAGCCTAATACTTCTCTGTTTCGTATGGTGAGTGTAGAGATCCGGAGACCCTTCTTAACTAGAAACGAGGCATTCCATCGTAGTCGTCAGGAGTGACAACGTATCTGCCTTTTGATTCTTAATCGAGGATAAATATAGATGTATATGGGCCACAGCATCCACACATCCATCAGATGGATTGTGATCCTTTGTCACCCTTATTCTATAAAATAAAATCAATAGAATTGTAATTAAAAATGCCTGTTTTGTGTTCTCTATTAATCAAATGTGTCAAATAAACCGTGTTAACCTTTTTACTACAGTTGTAATCTACAACCCTTTTCCATTACTTATGTAACACCTTTAAGAAATTATGCATATTTTAAATAGAGTGAGATACATTTTATAAAGCGATGTATTAGTTTCTTCGCATCTCGTATTCCTATTGTGTGAGACACTAACCAGGATCGTTACGTAATTCCTACCTTCTTACACTATTTTTTAATTTACTTTGTAATAGGTTACACTTATGCTCAAGCATAAGATGTAGATATCGATTAGGTCGCTGATATGAAACCTACTGGCGCATTTTATGTCATGTGGTTCTAAAATGGAATAATAAAAAAAAACAGAATAGCATGTTCAAAATATGTTACAAGTATTTTGATAAGACTATGAAAAGGATCTTATGAAACCAACGTATAATAGTTTTAAATTTAAACTTACATTTAAAATTACGCCTTTTTGACATATCGTTAGCTAAAGAAAACTCGATTTATATTATGTAAACTACATTAGCTGTATATAAAAAATAATGTTACAATAATGTGACGAATACTGTTACAATAATGTGACGAATTATATTGTGCTGGGGAGAAGGCGATAGACGATAACAATGGCCACCCAGAAAGCCTGATTCCTGTTCAGATAAGTGGTGCCAGTGCTATTCGTCGCAATTTGCACGGCGCCGAGAACAGTTTTATCAGCGGTTGAGCGCGGCACGGTGACTCACAGGGCTCTGAGCCGCGCCACAGCCGGTGCCGCCATTTTACTTTACGCACCACGTGTTCCTATGCAACTGAATTTACTGGTCAATAAGAAGAATATCGCCTTAAACTAGTGGACGAATCGGGTACGAGAAGCCACGGTACGTACGCGTGTATGTCACGATTCACACACTACCCATTAATTTAATGAGTGGGGAACGATACGTCTCATTAATAATGACAGTTGGGTGGTGTCCCAATAAATTACCTGCGGTATTTCGCCATTCTGTCCATGATTAGTAGTTTGTGTAGCGGCCGTAGCTTGAGCAAGAAATGGAAGCACAAACAAACCGGTGGTCTTGCGGAATATTTAACAGTGCCCGAAAAAAAAAACCTTCACTCCAGTGGCAGTTCTACAGCCAAAAAGCTTTTGCTGATCGCGTAGTCGTTATGGTGGTGCAAATCGAGAGCGGAAAGCGAACGCAGTGGGTTGCAGGCTGCGGGCTGCGGGCGCGCGAGAGCTGTAGCGCCAGCGCGAGCGTCGCCGTGTGACTGAGGCGCGGGCGGTCGGCGAGCGGTGAGCGGACGGCATAGTGATGGGTCAACTCTATTAGTTCGGAACTCAAGTTACAATCAACTCAAAGTAACTCGAGTTGGAAAATCACTAGCTGGAGTTTAAGAGGCTGGCGGTAATTGAACGAAATATACGAAGCAAACAAGAGCACAAACCGTTTATCGTGCCTATATATGTTATATACTACCAACAAATTGTTAAGTAAGTTTAGAATAATTTGTGAAAGTTAAATTACTAATAACCTACGTTATAAAATAACAGTGGTATTATTTTGTGAAAATAGTCTATAGCACTGGTTTTGTTATTAGATATAGGAACTTACTACATCTAAAGCGGAAAAATGCATATTGTACAAACACTTGAGATAGCATCGTATTAATTCTGCGCCCAACACGAAGTTTTGTGTAAGAACAAATAATATATAAATACTTTGTAACAAATTAGCTCTGTTATTTTTTCTGAGAATTCGAGTTGATTAACGAGTTCAATTCGACTTACGTGAATTTAAACGAGAGTTTACTCGAGTCGAACTCCTTCCTATATAGTTGTCACATCTCTACTAGGCGGCCGGCGTGCGGCGGGTAGCGGGTAGCGGGTAGCGGGCCGCCGTCGCCGCTCGCGCGCTCTGATAAAAACTACAATCCATTCACCCTGCTCGCTGCTAATTACACTTCGCGGCAATTCTCAAGGACTACGTAGCCTCGTCGTCGACTGCTTCCAGCCAGTACGATTGTATGCACATTCAAATTCAAACACACTTCAGGCGTATGACGAGCCAATTAAACACAAACGACTCCTTTGGGAAGCACCCATTAAAGAAGAGCAACCACTGGAGTCACGTTGCTATTCAAAGGAAACATTTTGCAAAAACTGAAGTGTGTCGATTAACGGCACTCATTAAAAAGCGTAATCAATTTAGACAAGTGGTAAAATTAAAAACTTTGTACAACCGACTTCAATACGACCAAATCAATGTATTCGAAGTCAATTAAGTACGCATTATTAGACAACTCAAAAACTACAGGTCAGATCTTGATTAAATTTATATGAGGACACAATCTGTTGCAATTACAACCCAGAAGATTTTTCTAGCGTTATTTCCGGCTGTCATCTTCAACTACATCCACGAGACAAAATAAGGTTATGGATTAACGTGGTAAATTAAGACAATCTTCTCGTCAGATGCACCTCAAAACCTGACAAATTGTAAAACCAGTGTTGCCAGTGCTGACTTATGGATCCAAAACGTGGTCCTTCATTGCTAGCCGTTTTGAGGACGCTCAAGAATAGAATAGAATAATTTTTAATCAATATAAATTACAAGTATCCTGGGAAGAACCAGCAAGAAACCCAGCGGGACTTTTGAAAATAAATTTTACAATGTCAAACAAAATACTTACAAAATTTATTTTAGTAACAGCTTGGAAGCGCCTGATTCCCAAGGGTTATTATCAACCATGTATTCATTTATATCATAATAACCCTTTTATACAGTTTTTGTTTAATTAAATATTTAAACTTGTTAATAGAGACCTATACTTTCTGGGACTTTGTTGTAATAGCGTATACATTGCCTCAAGAATGAATTACCGACTCTATGCATTCGAGAAACTGGTAGCACCAGCTTGTGTTGGTTTCTATTGTTTACAGAGTGTAAGTCACTTTTTTACGAAACTACTTTGTTTTTTGTGAACATACATCAAATTTTCTGATAGTGAGAGGCCAAAGTTAATATATTTATTTCTTTAAAGTTTTCTCTAAGAGACTGGGTTTAAGGTTATAAATAACTCTAATGGCACTCTTCTGCAAACAAAAATAGTTTCTAAATCAGCCGCATTCCCCCATAGCATAATTCCATATGACATTATGCTATGGAAAAGCAGCGATATTAGCCCAAAAAGGTGACAAATGCTATGCCCGAAAAACTGCTTTCTGACCAACAGCCAATCTCCACAACGCAAACGTGCTAAATCCTATTGGGGCCTCAGTTTTACAATCAAAACGTTCCCAAATCCACGTGCCGTTGCGACGCGTCAAGTTTTGTCGTGTTTTAGTCTCTAATTTTTTATTTTTTTAGTGTCCAAATCAAATGTTTTTCATCACATTTAAGTCCCAACCTAAACATAAGGGACTTAGCAGGTTTACGAACTATATTATTTTATTTAGTACACGGATTTAGCAGTTTATTAATATAATATTTTTTTTATTAACTTATTGCTTAATTAAAGATAATTTCGAAGATGTTACTCATTAAATAAATTATAAAACAAAGAATGTATACACAAATAAACTCTTAAGTTAAAGTCTGTTTAAGGTCTGTATAAATAATAAATTTCACATATTTTGTCATAATTTTATTCTTCTTCTTATTCAATTTTATTTGATTAAATAATGGTTTTTTCGATATTTTCAGAATGAATCGGGGGAAAAAAATTGTGGCTTTGGTTTCTGAGGCTTGTAACTCACAGGATAGACCTGAAAAAGTAGCTCCTAAGTTAAATTATGATCCAAATAAAGTAGTACACGTTTTGGAAGATATTCAGTTACAGTATTTAAAATCAAGAAAGTCTATACCAGAACCTTCAAATTCAGTTGCTGACAAAACTTATTATGAGATAAATGACAATATCAATATAACATCACTGACTGATCTAGATCTACCAAATACTTTTATTACAGAAAATATAAATCATACAATTTGTTCTGACATTACATTTCCCAATACTACATTCAATGACGTGCCTTTAGACGATAAATTGTTGTCCACGGTTTATGATATTCACAACACTTTCACGACAGACGAGAATTTGATTATAATACCATCACAAATTGAAATAGAATCACAATCAACAAATATTTTGATCTCAGACAACATACACAATTCCGATGCGGATACTATTCAAACATTAGGTAATATAATATCTCACGAAACAATTACTAGTTCTTTAGAAATTATCAACTCATGTTGAAAATACACATCATTTTATACCTAATCCACCAATATCGGATGGTAGCGATACAGAGAAAAAGCTTGTGCCTTATTCTGATTCTGACTCAGATTCGCTTGCTAAGATCAAAAAGATTAAGAAACGAAAGAAACGTTTTAACGTTGATAAAAAAGAACGGGTTAGCGAAAAGAATAAACAAAGAACACAAGAAGGTAAAACATATTTTGGGAGAGAGAAAAAGACATTCCATTAAATCAAGATGCTCCTGTAAAATTGGGAAGTACAGTACTTGAAAATGTGAAACAGTAGATGAAGATGTAAGAAGGAGCATTTTTAATCGATTTTGGAATCTTACATGGGGCGAAAAAAAAACCCTAGTGAAAGAATGGGTTACTACTATTCCAATTGTCCAGCCACGAAATCGAAATACCGAAGGGACAACCATGAGGGCTAACACCTTTGTTTATCATTTAAAAGTAAATGATAAAAGTGTCAAAGTATGTCGAAAGATGTTTTTGAACACATTGGACTTAGGAAGATGTACGGTTAAAAATTGGAAGCAGGAGTTTTCAATGTGCCCTCCTAGTACATTGAGACGTCCAACACAATTATATGAATTGACTTCGAAGCCGAAACAATCACTTATTCAGTTTCTGGAGTCTCTTCCCGTAATGGAATCTCATTATTGTCGATCAACGTCACAGAAGTTATATTTATTACCAGAATGGAATTCCAAAGAAAGCCTCTACCAATTTTACGTTAACGATTGGTGTAAAGAGCGAAATATTAAAGCTCTCTCCATAAGTTTGTTTTCGAATTTATTGAAGACAAAAATTTGGCCCTATTTAAGCCGAAAAAAGATCAATGCGAAAAATGCGCCTGTTATAAAGTAGGAACAGTTACAGAAGAAGAATACAAAGAACATATTGAAAGAAGTAAACAAGCAAGAGAAGAAAAATATGCGGATACAAAGGGAGAAAATTACGTTTTCACAGTAGACTTACAGGCTGTACTAATGACACCAAAATCGAATTTCAGTACGCTATACTATAAAACGAAGCAGCAAGTTCACAACCTTTGCTTTTTTAATATAAAAAATAAATACATATAATAAAATATAATAAACTGAATACATATCTATTGCTAAGCATGCTCGTAAATGCCCAGTACCCTATTATGTAACATATTTGGACCACACTTACTTCAAAAACTTCGACAAAATTCAGTTTTATAAAAGTATTCGCCCAGGAAGATCCAAAGGGGATCCTAAGGTCACTGACATTCGTGCACTTCGTTACGAAAGCAATAGATCAATTCTTTATAAAACTTGCTATAAGGATGAATGGCAAAATCTCAATTGTATCAGAACCGACGTAAAATCACTGCACGAAAATTTGAAGACTTGCAGCAAATAAAAAAGACCCTTCCTTCTGACTATCATAAATATTATGATGACTTGCCTCATGAATAAAATAAGAAGTACTAATAATTAGATTTTAAGTAAAATTACAACTTTACTTCACTTATTGTTAATTTAAAATTTTTGGAAAATTGTTTCTGTTTTATCTTAGTATTAATAATAATTGATTGTGATACCTGTAGTAGTAAAACAAGTTTAAATGCTTGTCATTAATAATAATATGATACTTAGGACAACTCGTAATACCACAAAAGCACCACATAATCACGTACATTGAAACTGTTACAGATTTTTTATGAAAGGAGTCTATCTTAGATATTATAACCCTGTTTCCTATTAAAGAAGACTGATTGTTTAATTTTTAAGAATAAATAGTTCGATTACTGATTGAATGTGTTTCACTACGCAATTCATTAATCTATACACCATACTAAATTAAAGACAAAAACTAGTGCTACAAAGTCCTCAAGTAAATTGAAACTTCACATCGAAAAACTGCTAAATATTTTTTTTCTTGAATTTTATAAAATGTGTATAAGTTATACTACTAATTATATTTTTAAAATATCAAAAAAAATTAGAAAAACCAACGGGATTTTCAGAATTTTGATTGCTAAATTAATAAAGATATTATTTAGTTTTTTCTTCGTCCTGTAAACTATGAAAATATGGACTTAGAAGGTTAACGAATTAGGCCGACGTTATACTATTTCGTAAAAATTAAAATAACCGATCTATAATCTATAAAATATTCCAAGAAAATTCAGCATTAATGTACTGATGGGTGTAGATTAAGATTAGAAGGAAGTAAAACCTTGTGAGACGTATCATTAGCGTATTTATTAAATAAAATGCACATTTTATAAAAGAATGTGCTCGGTAATGTAATACGGCATATGCCATTTACGGGCACGTACGCAGTCACCTGTCTGGGGCCACATGCTACCCTCGCACACGCTCTTGATACAAAAAGTCAATTTATATAGTGGAAAAGTGAACGCTCTCAAAGCGCTTAAAGCCTGTGCCAGCTGCCGGCCGCTAACCAATAATCTAAACTTTTATGCTATCACAGATTTCATGCTCGTACAAATTAAATTTGGATAAATGTTAAATTGTAAGAAATGGTGAGGTCGACTGTCACGAGTAGGTCTTTTAACTGTAATTTACAATTAAATCCCGCATAATTTAAAAAGCTCCAGCTTTATATCCATTAAACCATAGTATATTACAATCAATTAACAACACAAAGCCAAGCGGGACATAATGCATTCTTACACACTAAGAACACTACCATTCCTATGATCCATTGTATCGTTTCAGCAAAACAAATATTTCGGTAATCACATGTATCGTTCGTACCTATCACGGGATATCCTCATTTCTGCCCCGTCAATTATAGCTCACTGCGCGATGGAAAACATTTTAGGTTTTAAGTCATAACTGGCAACACGCACTGGCACAATATCGAAATATACATGAAGAGAAGATGGGTCGTAATTTCCCGAACGCTGCCCAGCCGAGTGGAATCCGTCGATGGACCTCTCGGTTGATTTGTCCCAGGTAAAAATATTCGTAAACAAACCCTCTTAGTTCTCCCAACAACAACCGGCATAGGTGTGACGACACAACGTTACACATGATCTTCGTTTTGCCCATGTTCATTTTAAGACCTCAGTTAGTAGGCAATATTGAGGTCATTGGGCATAGTGCTGTTATATGTCCTCCAGCGATTCTGACATAAAAATCTCGCGTTACTAGGTGCGTCAGAACTCTCGAAAGATTCCACGCAGGATCCTCAAATACTGTATACAACATCGTATCAGATGACGAATCCTGGATATACGCTTACGAACCCGAAACAAAAAACCAGTCACGAGTTTGGGTGTTCGAAAATGAGTTAAAGCCAACAAAAATTGTTCGTTCACGAAGTGTTGCAAAAAAAATGGTGGCCACGTTTGTCTACAAAACCGGCCATGTTACGACTATTCCTCTTGAGGGACAAAGAACGGTTAATGCAGAATGGTATGCTAGCATTTGTTTGCAAAGAGTTTTTAGAGCAAGAAAACATAGAATTATTAGACCATCCGCCGTACAGCCTCGACCTAAGCCCTAATGATTTCTATACTTTCCCTATAATAAAGAATAAATTGCGTGGACAGAGATTTTCATCACCTGAAGAAACTGTGGACGCCTACAAAACGGCCATTTTGGAGACCCCAACTTCCGAATGGAATGGTTGCTTCAATAATTGGTTCCATCGTATGGAAAAATATGTCAAATTTCGCGGAGAATACTTCGAAAAACAATAAATACATTTTTAAATAGTAATATTGTGTCACTTTCTTGATTTCCGAAATTTTCAGTGCCGCCCTCGTATCCAGTCCAGTAAGCTTGAAAACGTCTTTCAATGCAAGTTTCGGGGTTTAACGTCACCGTCCTACAAGAACATTAGTAAGCATTATAAAATCGAAAAGGGTTATGTTGCAGCCCAGGATAATAATTTCATAGCTGGCGGCCTCAACCCGGAGCAATCGTCTACAAGGGATCGGGCGACGCGACGGCACGTGTATGCGGCAGCCACCTGTCGGCAGGTGTGTGCCAGCGACTCCGCCGACTCAACTCCTACTTTATTTTCTTTGATTTTTTCGAATCGAATAAACGAAAAAGCAACACCAATTACAGCAATTCACTAAAATGCTTGTTACAGTTTTTCGACCACAGACTAACCGATTTAATTATTTTAAACCGGGTTTTTACAGGGGATTTAGTAGACATTCGGGCATGGTGATGTTTATACGATAATATATATTACACCCTAGGTTAACCTAGGGTGTTAGTTTGCAGGTGTTAACACTTGCAAACTAGCCTGATAGCGAGATACCAGAGGAAACAGTCATTACCCCATACAGTCATTACCCCGACAACAAACCTTTCATCATCATCATCATCATTATTATCATCAAACAGTCTAATTAAAGTTTAAAGCTGAACAAAGGCCTCCCTCATCAACTGCCTAATACGCGGGATATTTGCCATAGTTGCCACACTAGGCAGTTTTGGAACTGCAGAATATTATTATCATTACCGTTTAATTATTAAAAGGAAGCTGAATTATAATAGGGAAGTGATCTTAAGACGCCAATACACAAAATAAGATCAGTTATTTAATAATTTTGCTCATTAAGTGTTCTTATTTATCTATTCAACCAAAACTTATCAATCACTAACATTACAAGATCTAATGACCTAATGTGCCTGTGTTAATATTTAAATTATTATAACATACATATTATAATTAATGCTGCTTTTGTTCACTCAGAGACTCACACTTTTTTTTTATAGAAGAGGGGGCAAACGAGCATGCGGCTCACCTGATGTTAAGTGACTACCGCCGCCCATGATCAACCCGCAACACCAGGGGAATTGCAGGCGCGTTGCCGGCCCTAAGCTCTTTTCTTGAAGGTCCGTAGGTCGTATCGGTCCGTCGTCGGTCGCCGGTGGTAAACTATTCCACAGAGAGGTCGTGTACGCGGAAGAAAACTCCTTGTGAAATGTACAGTGGTGGCCCGTCAAGCATCCAGATGGTGTGGATGGTATCAGG